AGGTATAAATTAGTGCTTTAGTTTCTTTACTAGATGCCTTAAGTATTTATTAAACATATATATAGACTATAAAATCTAGTTATATTATTTATTCTTATAATATAGTTATAGATCCTCCTAGTCTTATATAACCTCTCTTCTTCCTCCTACTACTACTTAGTAAGAAGTTATTCCTAGGAGTATAATAACTATCTATTCTCTACTTAGGGCTAGTTGTTATTAAGTAGCTATTATTTATCTATATTTCTTATTATTACTTTCTAGTAGAGGAGTGAATAGGTTTTCCCTCTAGTCTTCTTTTTCTTTAAGCTATACCTATATTCACTTATTATTATCTTCTATAGCTACTAAGTATATATCTCTATCCTATATAAATTCAGGTCTCTTATCTAAGTCGTCCCTAGATCTAATCCTATTTATTTCTAGTAGAGTATTATTTCATTCCTTTAGTCTAAGTAGTTTCTTTCTAGATAACCCTCTTTTTCCTATAGCAACAACCCTTAGTTATCCTATAGCTTTTAGAAACCATCCTAAGGCTTCCTTATCTTAGATATATATTAGATAAGCATTATTATAGTATGTTATTTAGTGCTTATTATTATAGTCAGTCTTCTAAGCTATATTTACTTATTATATAGGCTTAGGTATTTTCCCTTACTTTTTCTATTAGTAGTTATAGGTAAAGTGTCTCTTCTTATTATAGTTATAATAGATCTTATTATCATTCTATTTTATAGTATTAAGTTCTATAGGTCCTATATACTATATAGATCTCTAGGCTGTAGTATCTTTTACTTATACTATTTTTCTTCCTTAATTAAGAATCCTTAGATAATATACCTACTATTACTATCCCCTATATTCTATCTATTATTTATAAAGTTAGTTATTAATCTAGACTGTAATTATAATATACTATATAAACTCCTTAGATCAGTCTATTTTAGTGAGTTTGTCTTTAACTTCTACCTTTAGCTCAGTATAAAATATAACTATTAGTAGTTTATCTTCCTATTTAAGAGAACTTAAAACCTATCTAAACCTAATAATATAGCTAGATATAGATCCTATTTATTAGAGTGCTATTAACTATTATTTTACTATTTATTCCTTATCTAGATCTCTAAAAGCTACCTTAATAGCTTTCTTAAATATAGTAAAGCCTCCTATAAAGATAGCTTAAGCCTTAGGGTCTCTATTATTCTTTAGATATTCTAAGTAGTTCCTCTATATAGGTTTAAACTAGATAAGGGCTTCTTCTTTAAGCTAAGTTATTATAAAGAGTATCTAATCATCTAGATATAGGAAGTTAGGTTTATACTTCATAAGATATCCTCTATACTAAGTAAGGAATCCTTAGAGACCTTTCTTACTCCCTCTATATATTAGTAGAACTTTATACTTCATACTCTAGGTACCTCCTGCCTATAAGGCCTATACTAGAGCGGAAAGTCACTAGATTTCAGTACTAGCTTATTCTATTATAAATAAGGGTGTGTTATTAGTAGATTAAGATCCTAATATAGTTTCTATAAGTATTACTTAGAGTGCAATCTACTAACTAAATAAGAGTATTTAATATATAATAATCCTTAATTCTAAGAGGTAAGATTACTTTATAGAACTAGAGGTATATAGGTTTATATAAGCAGTTAATAATAGATACTGCTAAGCAATAGTAGTTGACTTAATTATAGCTAAGATAGCTTTACTTAAAGATACTTTATTAAATAAGATACTTTAAATACTAGAGAGCTATTTAGGATAGGTATCTAAGGGTAGTTATATATCTATATATATAGACAATAGATCGTGATGGCTCACGGTGATCTATTGCGATCCCTTATAGAGGATCACTGTGATCTATGGTGATAGATCACTAGAGTCCTAAGCGATCCAGTGGTCTATATGTTTTCTGCCTATCTTATCTTCTCTGACCGCCTTAGGAGGTGCCCCCGCAGTAACTGCGGTTGGTTTTGTGACACTTGGCTAGCTAAAATACTAAGCCTACATAGGGCGCACTTTCCGGTCCCACACAAGCCCTGATATAAGCATTAATTATATAGATAAATACTATGATATAATGTTATATCTAGTTCTAAAATGCTGAAAACATACCTAGGCACATCCTTATTTACAACAATAAATTTATAATTACAGAAGGCTTTCTGAACACATATATATTTCACAAGGGAAGACGATGACTGGGATGGTAATTTAGGCGGGCACCAGCGCAGAGGCCGGTCAACAAATGTCTTATTATTTATTCCCCCCGACAACCCAACCAACACCGAACCACTATCCTTACACCTCAACACAGAATGGAAACCGAACGAAACTCCAGGTCCAGAGAACAGGTCTAAGGGTAGCAACGACGAGCGCATTGACAAGCTGGCACATGTCCGTCTGCCATTCGGCAGGGCTTCGGGAGGCCATCCGCATGCACGAAAATGCACCGGACAGGCGGGACTCCGTGGCCAGGACATAGTGCCAGGGCGCCGTTAGTACATGCCTTGTGACTCTCATTCTCTCTCCTGGTCGCGAATCGTCCGTGCTCGATTCCGTTGATGCAGCCGGTCTGGCCGGGCTGATTGGCCCCATTCCCACAGCGATGTGAGAATGGGCTATCAACGGGTCGAGATCCAATCTCGTCGGAAGGTTTTGCCGACAAGTTTTGCCAATTGTCGTCCGATGGGTCTTGCAAGAAAGCAAGGAGGCGAACGACTGTCACCTTACGTAACACGCGGTTGCTGTGCAAACCGGTCGTCTCAGTGACATCGATCGTAGTCCTCCTTGTCATCCAGCAAGAACCCACCGGAACTTGCTCCCCCATCTCCTCTGCCACGAACTCTCCCAGCTTTCTGCACCAGTGCTGCTAGCACTGGCCATTTCGTCGATTCGATGTCTTTGGCAGGCGAACCAGACCCTGCCCAGGAACCCCAAAGATTGGGTGGTCCTCCGGCAAAGCATCAAAGAGACGCGAAAGCGTCTCTTTAATGTGCTGTTGGACACCGTATGTCTGAGGGGTGGGCGAGGCGGCTGGATCGATCGAATCGACACTGGGATGTTGTTCTGTCGGCAGTGAAGTGGGTGAGGGCGAAACTTGTCTTGGTGAGGATGGTGGTGGTGGTGGTTGGGCTGAAGTAAAGGGGGGCGGGGAAAAAACTAAATCTACCCGGTAGCCTTCATGTCAGCAGCCCGATACACCAGCCAGTGAGATGATATGAAGCTGAGAAACTTACCCCGACCGTCCGGCCCTAGGGCCCGGGCCCGCTTGGCGGGAGGAGGAGGTGGCGGCGATGGGGCGGGGCGGCGGGCCGAGAAAGACATTTTATTTTTTTGCTCTTGAGAAGAATAGGCTGGGGAACAAATAGATCCAAGCTCGTTTTATACGGGACAGCAATGATATCGTGCCTGTCCTCGCCGCCTTGTCTCTTTCTTGTCTTGTCATCCTTCCTTCCTATGTTACCATACATTCGTCATCTACTGATTTAGAGAGCAGGAAGAAATGATGTAAGAGGCAACTCCTAATCCCTTCTCGTTCAATTGAAGGAGAGAGTAGAGTAGCTCTTGTTTCCTGCCTCTTCTTAATCGAATGAAGGGCAGAGAAACTGCGCTGCATCAAAAATGACCATAGGAAATTGTCAAGGTGGGGATCAATCGAATTCGTTGAGATGTCTAATTCAAAAGGACTAAGGGGCTCCGGCATTCAGGGGCTCCGGCCCTCCACATACTAAATTTGTCCTGGGGTTGTTCCTAGAGGACCAGCCCATCCTGACAGAAATGAATCACACAGTAGAGTTTAGCTGCAGAGGCGGCCGAGCCCTCTTTTGCGAGAGAAGGCACCACAAGCCCCAATCTATTGTAGTTGCGGTACGACAAACGCCGACTTTGGGGTTACACAGCACGGGTGGGCCGGGCATCCACACGAGTTGGGCCGGGCCAAGATGAACGCCCGGTGTTGGTTACGTCGGTCGACAAGGGCGAGGTTTGAGCGGTCGGCATATCAGAGACAGCAGATGGAAATGCGCGGGGGGGCGACTGAGGCTGTGTTGGTTGACCCGGTTCTGTGAGCAAGATCGGTGGGACGAGATGCTCAAAGTCGTCTAGCAGGGTGTCGGTGGCGCGGAGAGTGACCGAGTGACACTTGCTTGCTTAAAACACAAGACACAAGAGAAGGGGGAAGGCCTGATGCGGATGAACAATTCAGAGCACATAATATCCATATCTCGGACTCTTCAAGCACCCGCACGATGAAATCTCCTGCCCATCCTCTCCGCCCTATCTCTTTCCCGTGTCTGCCATGCATTTGCCACTCTTGCTCGAACGCTTGAGTGCCCTTCGCCAGAAACCTCATCTCTCTTTCCTGTGCAGGAGGGAAGAGGCAAGAGGCAAGCGTGGAAGTTACATAATTAATATTTCTCTCCTTCTAATAAATAGCATGTCTTCTTCCAAAGCAGTGGTATGATGCTTGTCTCCGGCTCCCTTGTCATCTTGGTACTACCCGGGTAGGTAGGTAGCTAGGCTTTACGATTCTTTCGCTCGGCGTAAGCTACACGTTATGGGTAGTAGTGCTCAACTCCTTTACCCATCCGTCTTAGGTAGTTGGATAACTCTTACAAGTCCTAGAGGAAGCAAACCTAAGTCGCTTCTTCTAACACTGCCTGGCATGCTTTCTCTTGTTTGCCTTGAGCGCGGTGTCAGTTCTTGGCTGCATCTGGTGCAGTGTAGGTGGTTCAACGTGATGTCAAGAGTTGGCGCTAGCCAATCTCCATTCGTTCATACATGTACGAACCTTAGGTAATGTACCTAATCTCCACCCGCGTCATCCCCACCTGCTTGCACTTTGCCCACCTTCGCGTTCCGCAGAGCATCACTTGACGCGCTTTGCAACACTCCTCCCACCGATTGACCAACTTTGAGCGCCAATCTGGCCAAGGCAAATCACTCTTTTACCTCCATCTGTATCTCGCGCATCCTCGAGGCGGCAAGAAGACACGATGTATGGGGACCTGGCGAACAAGCTTGTATGTGGTGATGCTGGCCACCTCGCGAGCATCGATTGTTAACATGATTACAGGTCCACCACGCGAAGAGGACACAGAACCTGTCTCACCTGCCTCCTTATCAAACCGAGATTGTGCGCGGCGTCACCAAGGAGGTTCGCGACCTAGACCAAGATGTTGCGCGACTTCTAGAACCCTTCAACGACTCATTCGACCCCGACGGTAATCAATCCACAGCATGCACCCTGCTCGTCAATCATCTGGCGATGAGGCGGAACAAACGCTGCCTCCTGGCATACCATCGCACGAGGGCGAACAAATTGGAAGAGCTTGTCTGGAGTGGCGCCGATCTCCTGGACCTTTCTGGGCAGCAGGTCAGGGACGCTGGTACGGAGGGAGAAGGCATGCAATCAGCCAACGAGGGAGAGGCTGAAACGAGCAGCCTCAGCCCGCAAGAGGAGGATTACGTGCGACAATATGGGGATCTTTTAGCCGCACTGAAGGGGCAGTGGACTGATATTGATCTGACGGGGAGCTTGGATCCGCCAAGGGACCTCTTTATCGACGTGCGGGTTTTGAAAGATGCGGGCGAGATTCAGACCGAATACGGGTGAGTTTCCTCCACGAGCAATGGTTCATATTGGTTGGGCTGCACAAGAATACTAACTTCAAGAAGTGCTATTACACTGAGCAAAAACAGTCAGTTCTACGTGCGACAAGGCGACGTCGAGCGTTTGATCGGCCAAGGATATCTGCAAAAGTTAAGCTGAGGCACCACGATCGATAACCCCGAAGCAGCCAAACGAGCACATGCCTTGTTGTCGATAACTTTGACTCCGTGGCCGATCCGAAGCCGACTCCATGAACCGCGTGCACTCTCCTAAAGTCCGCTACATCCCGCGTCTGTGGAAATGACACTGAGGTGGATTTGTGCCATTCCTACGGTCAATACATAAACTAGCTCGGTATGTGTAGTACGGTGCAGTACTTGAAACAGTCCTAGAAGCTGGTTCACAAGAACCAATGTACGCTAACACCTCCGTGAGGGCTTTGCAGCAAGGGCTAAGATAGTCCGTACAGCTGAGCCGAGGTGGATGTGAAGAAGCAATACCCGGATGGGGTTGACAGGAGAGGGCGGCGGGAGGATGCCTATCCGTCCTGCTGTCTGCCGCATATGCAGACACAATTCAAGAGAGTGGGCACAGCAATTTGTGACTCGGTGTTAGTGCTGGATCGAAATGATGTTGGTGCACCATACGTGGTTGCCATGTTGACGCCATTCTCCTCCGGCACACAGTGATTAATGGCGAGTGTGCCATCGACTGATGTCCAAACGAGCTTCCAAGGTTGCTTGCAGTAATTCAGACCAATTGATGGGTAGGTGGAATGATGTAACAGTTTTACCTTATCTACTTGCATGCATAGATACGCGTACTTACGCCTGGAATTGACATCAATTATCATCTACTTGTATGCGCGCGCACGAGCGGGGCTGATAATGATTGATGCATGGAGATTGCCGCTAAGCCAATGCCGAGCCTTGGATAAGCTGCCGCTCATCTTGCTCCGCACCTGCTCCGCACCTAGCCTAGCTTTGTCAATGGGCAAATCTTGCTTGGCCATGACTTCAGAGTGTGTATCGCCAGAACGAAGCTCGGCCCAACGGCCTTCTTCTCCCTGAGTCTTCTGTGCAGGCGTGACAAGGAGCCAACTTGCTGCCGTCCTGCATTCGTTCTCGCACTTTGACATCGTTGAACCTATTGTCTCTGCTCAATTGACGAGTCTGCCATTGCGCCATACCACGTTGTGGTCACATCACTATCGTGATGCTGTCGCCATAGTCTGCACCACCCACTGCTTTCTTCTTGTCGACCGACGATTCCCTCTGATCGATTGGCTGCTTTCCCCAACTCGCCATGTCCTCGCCAGCCTTTAGCTTCTCCCCGTGGAGGAGACGGGGCTCTTCTGTTCACTCCAGCGACAGAGGAACGGAAGATCCTCCGACAAATCAACAGACTGCACCTGCTCCTCCTGGCCAGCCACAAGCACTGGATTCGAGGCTGTTGTCTTCTTCAATATCTTCGGCTGCTCATAGGGAACCAATCAGGTCTTTCATTCAGGGAAGCTTTCGGGAATATCATGGTATTTACCACCTAACCTGAGTCCCCTCACAATCTGACTGTCTAACATGCCCTGGAACAGTGCCGGTCGAGAGTGTACAACAACATGCGCGTTCAGTCCGCGAAGATACGGCAGAACTAGCCACGTACCAACTGTCTGACCACGCCGAAAGACGAAGCCCTTCCTTCTTAAGCCGCCAACGCTCCCTATCTTTGAGTAGTGGGCGGATTGGCCCTGGCTACGACCATGTTTTTGAAGATGACGATTCCTCAATACCTCAGGATGCAGGTTCGGACACGATACCAGAAGTCTCGGAGCCGCCATCACCAGAAGATACCGGAGCGGCTGGAGGCGAGGTTGGGCCGTCGCTCCTGGCGCACATGCTCCGGCAATCCCCTCCCAGCGCAATGGAGACTGCTACCCAACACGACATAGTGGAACAACGTGATGATCATTCAACAGTCAGAGAGCGTCGCTTGAAGAAGGCTAGCATACCTAGTGCAAGTAGCAATCAGGATATGACAGAAACGACGCCTCTACTGGGTTCACTGTCCCCAGAAACCCAACCAGCAAATGGTGAATACCATCTCGACCTCGAAGGTCAAAAAGCTCGGGTCCCCAGGAGGATAGCACGAGCCGTGGCACAACTCTGCAAGCGCGTCGGTCCTCCCTTTGTGGCCATGACCAGGAGTGTCAAGGATCCGAAGCTTTACTCTCGCCGGTCGTTGTGGGAGAATGGGATCGTTGCACCAGTTGCCTGCCTCCCGGCAGTCATTGTGGGCTTGTTGCTCAACATACTAGACGCATTATCATATGGTAAGGGCCGGTGCAGGGTCCGATGAGACTTCATTTCCTACCTGCTAACCCGCCTTTTCTAGGCATGATACTTTTCCCTTTGGGAAATCCTATATTTGCCCACCTCGGCTCCGCCGGTATTTCTATTTTCTACGTCAGCACGATCGTTGCCCAATTAACCTTCTCGTGCGGAAGCGTTTTCAGGGGTGGCGTAGGCTCGGAACTTGTAAGCCACTGCTCGTCAGTCAGATAGTCAACGGACACTCACCTTTTTGTGCTCTAGATCGAAGTGGTGCCGTTCTTTCACAGTATGGCCGCCAAAATCACCGCTTCTGTTGGAGAGGACAACCCGGAGGCCGTCATTGCAACCACAATTGTTGCCTATGCCTTGAGTTCCATGCTGACTGGCACCGTTTTCTATTGCATGGGTAAATTCAAGTTCGGGTACCTGGTTGGCTTCATTCCTCGACATATCCTCATCGGCTGCATTGGCGGTGTTGGCTGGTTTCTTGTGGCCACCGGCTTCGAGGTCAGCGCCCGAATCGAAGGGAGCCTAGAGTACAATCTGGACACTCTTTACAAACTCATGAGTTCAGAGACAATCCCGTTGTGGGTCACGCCACTCTGTCTAGCTATTGTTCTCTTCTGGGGGCAAAAACGGACGAACAACAAGTACTTTTTGCCACTATACATTATTGCTATCCCCATCATCTTCTACTTCTTCGTCCTTTCATTGGATGCATTAGACACGAACACCTTGCGGGATGGAGGCTGGATATTTGAGGGCCCACCGGCCGGTGAGCCGTGGTGGTACTTTTATACGTTGTATCGTAAGTCCCCCTCTTGCCTTTGACAGCCCCAGCGCAGAAACATGATGACTGAAAGTAAATGGCCAGAATTCAACAAAGTTCAGTGGGCGGCTCTGCTAGAGACAGTCCCGGCTATGTTCGCATTAACCTTCTTTGGCATCCTCCACGTTCCTATCAATGTCCCGGCATTGGCTCTCAACACAGGGGAAGATCACGCGGACTTGGACCGAGAGCTGAAGCTGCATGGCTACTCGAACTTTTTGTCAGGCGCTTGCGGAAGCATTCAAAATTACCTAGTCTATGCGAATACTGTCTTCTTCATGCGATCGGGTGGCGACAGCCGTTTGGCAGGGTTCGAATTGGCCGCGCTGACATTCGGCGTCATGACCATCGGGCCAGCTCTGATCGGCTACATCCCCATAATGATGGTGGGCTGTCTCATATTCGACCTGGGCTTTGAGCTATTGTTAGAAGCGGTTTGGCAGCCACGAAAGAAGTTTAAGTTGCCCGAATATGTCACGGTTAGTTTTGATACATTGTGCGATCTGTGGCCACGAACATTGCTAACGGATTGTCTTTAGGTAATCGCCATCGTGCTCATCATGGGCATTTACGACTTTGTAGTCGGTATCGGGGTGGGTATCTTGCTTGCCTTCGTGTCCATGATATTACAGACCTCGAGGGTCTCGGCAATCCGAACAGCCTACTCTGGGGAGATTGTCAATTCGACAGTGAGAAGAAACCCTTCACAACAGCACTACCTGAAACAGGTCGGCAAACAAATTCAAATCATCAAATTGGCCGGCTATCTGTTCTTCGGGACTATTGTGGGAGTAGAGAACAGAATTCGCTCGTTGATCGCTGAAGAGACATTCTCCCACCGACCGATCAGATACTTGATACTAGACCTCCATCAAGTCACGGGACTCGACTATTCCGCGGGCGAGGCTTTCAACACAATCAGTCGATTGTTAGACGGCAAAGGCATTCACCTCGTGCTTAGTGGGCTCGACGACGAGTGCAGTCTTGCACGGGATCTCCGCGCTGTTGGTCTTGGCGACGGGGGGATTGATGTTAGCTTCCTTCCTAACCTTAATTCCGCCCTTGAAAGCTGCGAGAATGAGCTCCTCAAAACATTCTATGCCAGCCAGGAGGCGTTGAGAGTATCACGACTGGGACAAGCTGTCAGCCTCGATGTTCCGTCCAAGCCTGACCAGCTTCCGTCCGGCGACCTGCTAGCTAGTTCGCCGCGTCTCAATCAGCTCCAGGAGGCTGCCAAAGTGTCTTTGAACAAAGCCGAAGTCTTGCGTCTTTCGCGCTGGCAGAATTTCAAAGAACCGTTACGTCTAATCTTGCAGATTTTCCAGGATCTGAGCGACAAGAACGAGGACTTCTGGTTCCGCGCGGTCGGCTATTTTGTGCGCAAAGAGTGTGCGTCTGGCTCGATACTATTCCGTCGAGGCGAGCCAGCTGATGGATTCTACCTTATCGAGAAGGGCATTTTACGGGCGGACTACGATCTGCCACATGGCCAGTATTTCCATGAAAGCATTGTGGCCGGCACGACATGTGGCGAATTGCCCTTCTTCTCGGAGACGACTCGAACCGCGACCGCATGCGCCGAATTGGATTGTGTTGTCTGGGTTCTCAACAACGAGTCCTGGAAACGACTGCAGACTGACGATCCGGATGTAGCTCAGGAGCTGTTGAAGATTGGCCTGAAACTCACGGCTGAGCGCATGAATACTGTACCCGCCTCGACAATGTTAATGGCGGAATAGGAATAAAGTGGCCTCGTTGGGCAGCCATCGGCGTGATACTGTATAAGCGGACAAAGGCGATGGGATTTTGTAATCATTTGTCCTACAAAGGTGGCTAGAGCAAACCATACGCCCGCTGTCGAGAATTTGACGAACATAGTTGGGTCGTAGCGTGGAATAGACTAATGTATGGCTGCACTGTGCATGCTTGATTTGTGACTTGCACCCTCTTCAAAGTTACCACTTCTGTGACGATCGTAAGTCGTATTTGGACTCTGGCGTTGTCAGCAGTCCACAACCCTGTCCACCTGCCTCTCCTCCTGAGTTAACGGCATCAGCATGGCCTCGCGTCAACACTGTCTGAATACTCTGACCCCGGCCGGGCTGTTTAGTTTTGTGGGATCAGTGATTGGAAGTGGTAGGCAATACATGACAGTTTCACACATAAGAGACTTGGCATTGTTGAAGCTAGTGACGAAGGTGTGTCTCTGGTTACAGACATCCATACTATTTCTGAGTTCACTAGCTGGTATCTTTCCTATTGCCAGCCTGAAACTTAGAAATTCCTACTGCACCACAATCTGGACACTTCCATGGGCAAACTCGTTTGAAAACGCCTAGGGACTGGCCGAGTAGCAGTTCCTCAGCAAAGAGTACGTCAACGAATCTAGTAAAGATGATGAAGTCGATACGGGTTAAGGAAGGCAAGGATGATGACTCTCGTGCAACTGGGTTTGTCAATCAGTCATTGGCATATAGCCGGCAATACCTGTCTAGTCTTTACCCCTTGTATCACTGTTGCAGTATATAGGTGCAAAGGAGCATGGGATTTTGATGGGGTGGTCAGTGTGCACTATCGCCTCGGCCTGATATTGTATCACCTGGGGGATAGAGCACACTTCGCAGCGATTCTCCGAACTCAAATTTCTCCAACCGACAAGAATCATACCACACCATTTTTGACCCTACATTTTCAATTTTGAGCCAAGGTGCCAGCGCGGTTTAGTCAAGCATGCCATAGCTGGCTAATCCTCCGAACTCTATGTCAGGGATTTCACAAGAGCTCGAGCAAGCAAAACGCAAGTGCGAAATATAAGGTAACCTCAATAGAAATATCAACAATGGTCGAAGAGGAAACATCATCATCATCCTCGTCGTCCTCGTCGTCCTCGTCGTCAGAGTGGCGTGAGTCGTCAGGCGAAGAACCAGAAAGTGAAGATTCGGTATCAACGGCTGAGGTCATCTCCGAGTCCACTGTAGGTGAGATGTACAGTGTTCTCTCCGTCCCTAACAAAGAATCTGACATATGAAACTGCTATTAGGCACTGCATATCGAGGCTACTAGGCATAAATTTATGTTCCCAGTGGCTGCACAGGAATTCATTGAGCTTGAACTCAAGATCGTCCCAGACTGCTACTGCCTCAACACCATTCTAGCCCCTTCCAAGGCTGGTGGCTATGTTCAGCTGTCATAGGGTGGCGCTAACAAGTTTTGTGTGTTGGGGGAAATGTTGGGTTGGGCAAAGGGGATCATTATATCACTGGGCGCAAATGAGCAGATTTCTCATCTGTGTGGTAACCCCAAATGCTGCATTCCGGCGCATGTCATCAAAGAGACAGCACAACAGAATAACGCCCGCAAAAACTGCATGGTGTGGGTCAACTGCCCACATGACGACTGCGAATTGAAGATTTTGGTGTGCCCTCATAGGCCTCGCTGCATCAAGTATTGCGAAGGTTTCGAGACGTGGGATGAATTTTTACGAAGTGGAATTCACTAATGATATTGTTTTATCTACAAACAAGTAGTTGCTGCTTAAGGGAAAGTGCATAATTCTAAGTGGATGTAGTCTCTCTGATGTTTGATGGACCTCCAACTGTAGACTCTCAGTTTCCAGGTTTCGACCCCCTAACGAACCTGGAGGTAAGCGCCACATGTCCCTCGAGATCCCCATTTAGGATACGAGCGTCTGGAGGTGGCTGAGATACATATGCCGGACACGTACGTTGGAGATGGCTACAAGCAGAGTGCCAAGGCGGCTACGGCCGCTAACATGTATCAAGATCGACACTCCCTATCCCATTCTCGACCTCATCCAACCTCCCTGTGGTAACCGCTTCCTGTGCGAAGAGTCGTTCTAGATACAATTATGATCATACTGACCTCGTATACCGGCTGTCACGGCTTGCGATCATATTGTGCACGCCTTGGAAATTGTGACTTGAGACCGCTCATATTCCTGGCTAGGAAGCCTGAAAGACAAGGCGGATTAACAACGCGAGGAGCAATTGCTCGCCACTGGTACTGGACAGGAACAACCATGATCATGCTTGTTAGGTATCCGTGATAAGAGGTGAAAGTACGACATGATGTATTACTCCCCTGGGGCAACTGCCATCGGAAGGACTAATGAGAGCTCTTCTGTTGTGTTAATGTCCCAGTGGAGTTGTTCAACCCCTGGGACAAGGACCATATAATCTTGATAAGCACAATACATCGTCTCCTATGATAGCCCTTTAAACGCCGCAACTGCAGTCACATGATTCCCAGTTATCTCCCACTAGTAGGAGTGGCAGAGACAGGGATCTACAGGGATCTCGATCACTGAAGAGGGCAATCAGTGCACATGACTGCAGTTGCGGCGTCTAAAGGGATAAAGCACTGGCTAGTGGTCCTATATTGATAATCTTCGAGACGAAAATGATTGAACGAGATGTCTGGTATTTCCCTATACTTAGATGAGTCTGATACGGGACCATTCCAGCTAGGGATTTCCTCATTTGTCATCACCTGTGCTCCGTTGACAGATAGTGTGCAAGGTTTCGTGAACCATCAAACAACAGAGTCGTGAAGTGTCTCTTGCTTAGAGATGTGGACCCTACTAAGTAGACAGTGAAAACATTTCTGTATCCACAATCAGTCTCTACTAATGGGCATTGCCTGACAGTAAGGATGGGAATGAGCGAGCAGAAGACTTTAGAAGCCGGTTGGGTTGATAATGCATTCGATGTGATTGGTGTCTAGGACGAGGCTTCGTTCTCGTGCACGGACCATGTCTGGCGACAGTGGCGCTCGCTCAAAGGGCGCAGTCCGAAGGGCGTACATTGATTACTTAATACACTAGTCGTCAACTTGTCATTCTCGAGATGCAAGGTAATAAAACACTTCGATAAACGCCTCAAGGCTGCTGTGCTCGTCGCACCGAACTGCCACTTTCTTACGACACCATCATGTCAATGTCATGAGTCTTCGCTCGATACTCGGTGGCTCAAGGATCAAGAAGCGTAAACAAGGGGCTGGAAGTCACCCGCAAACTGCCTCTGCCTCATGGCACGCCTCCCTTCCTCGCACCAAGGCAGCGGCGGCTGTTCAGCCCAAGTTGAAAGGCGGCCGCGCTGATGAGGACCTCTTCGGCGACAAACTTGACGATGTGGGATTGATACAATGTCTATCCACTGACCTTTCCCTGCGCGATGTGCCGCAGGTCATGCGGCATGTTCGCAATCGCATGTTCGACCCCGTTCCTGAGCGTGCCAGCGGCATGAACTCGACCCGCACTGCCGAGGTGCTGAATTTTCGGCGCAATCTCCCGCCCATCTCGACAACTGCACACCTTCACGCAATCCTCCCCCGGCCTTCTGTGACCGATCGCGAAATAGCAGAGCTGACCCGCGCTGGCATCGTGCGCAAAATCGTCGTTCCGCGCCGTGGTGCCGCTGGAGAGGCGCTGGTCGAGATGGCGGATATCGAGCGTCTGATACAAACGGCGCAAACATTGGGACCCGCGACAAAAGATGCGTTTCTTGAATGGCTGAGGGAGAGTCCAACCTCGCAGAGGCTGCCCCGGGGAAGGTTAGATGCAAAGGTGGCCGATGAGCTTGTGCGCGCTGGTTTCCTCACATCCAGCATCCAGGGGACAGGTGCCTCCGAGGGTCTGTTCGCGCGGCCAGAGGATCGCACGACGTTTATGAGTCTTGAGACGGTGGCGCGGGCAGCCTCCGGCTCGGTGGGTGCTGTCGGTGGCCAGGGTGCTGTTCATGCTGCGGGCGGATCTGGAAACCGTGCCAGAGGAGAAGCAGATCTCGGCGATTTGTCCCTGGCCATCCCCGGCAATGGAGCATTCATCAAGTTGGTTTCGTCGGCCCTTGATCAATTGACAGCCATTCTCTCGAGGTGCGCTTATCGCGAGGCGCCCGAGGTTTTGCTTCGTGAAAAATGGGACGGCGGCGTTGTGCGAGACGCGCAAGAAGAAGCTAGGAGATCGCGCGGCGAATTCAGCGGCATTCTCCCCGGCCGGACGAGGAAGTGGAAGACGTTTCACGGCCTCAACTTTGACTGGCTTCTGGCGGAGGCTGTGGGCTCCGGATTGGTTGAAGTGTTTCAAACGCGAACTGTTGGACGAGGTGTGAGGTTACTCTGATTGTCTTGCTTTCCAACACATGTACGTAACATGCATAGCAGCACCGGTCCTTGTCGGTACGAATCCAAGGACATGGGAATTGCTTCTTTTGTCTCCCTTCGCCTCCTTGACTCCGATTGCACCGGAGGGAGGCACAGTACTCCAGAGCTAAACCACACCATAATGAGTTGCCGTTGACCATTCCGGTGTCTAGAAGATCTTCTTGCTTCCTCTTTCCATCCCAGGTTTCATCATACAAAGATCGCCGAGCAAGCTGAGGTCAGTGTTTCTGCCGCGTCCCAACGCCGTGGAACAAGGTTTCAGTTGTATCAGGCAGGTACCAAATTGAACTTGATAATCTTAAGCTTGGCACCATATGGCGTAGGAACTTTCCCTTTCAACCGTACCCTATTCGTCCTATCTGCTGGGACCTGGTTCATATCATTGGCGCAGCCACAGATGCATGTCTGTACCGAGCACAGACGCCGTGTGCTTCAGGTAAGCAGACCTAGCACGGCTGGGGTTGAACCGGCAGATCATGATACCGCTGCCAGGATCTAGCCATTGTTTCTCTGTTAGAAGCATACGAAGTAAGTGTGCTCCGAACCCTCTGATTAAACTTAGTCTTGTCGAGGACATCAGTGTCGAATAATTCCATCACGGAAGTTGTTCCGACTCCTGCCTTGCATTGATTCAGATGTTTCGGCCCATGTCGATGTTGGGGCGACCCTGTATTACTCAATCCTTCTAAGGATGTAACAGTAGCAGTCACCGGAGCCGCCGCAAAGTTCGAGGAGAGCCACTCACTCGAGGGCCTCCTGGGGGACTGAAGCTAGTCATCGATGAACAAGAATCCGATGATAAGTTGAGTTCGTCAATCGGTGAACAGTCAAACTTCTATACAGCCAACAACGTGCGGAGGAGGTGAATGTATGTGAAGCAGGAAAACGGCCAGCCCGAGTTTCTCGCTGTCCGGAACAGCAACGTACTCCGTACGTACGTACAAGTACAAGCATTGGCACAAGGATCAGGAGCAGGGATTACGACAGGGATTTATCCCCACACAGGGACAATGTGAAATGAAGTCGTCCGGTCATCCAGAGCCCACCATGGCCGCTAGGCTTCTTCCGCCTTGTCCTAGTTCGTAAGGGGACGTGGTGTGGGAGCTGGATGGAAGCCAAGTAATAGTTAGCTGCTTCTCCCCTGCATGCATACATTCATTTGATTTGTTCCTTGCATGAACTCTTTCCCGCGCCTGTACAAGTACGAAGTACGGAATACGGAGTATCCTCTCGCGCCCTCTGGTGTCCTATTAACGCGGCATACCCAGGTAGGCAAACCTAATATAAGCCTAGTTCCAGTGTCTGTCTGCCTGCCTCAGCCATGATAAGCTCTTGCGATAGCTGATCGGTAACCACTGAATGGCGGCGATCCTGCTTTGCTTCTAATGCCTCCAATCTCAAGCCAATGGCCTTTGGAAAGCTTGACGTGAACAGTAGATCCGTTCAGTGTACTGTACTGATGCAAGGAAGTAATACCCTGCCTCGCTACGTATCCATGCTGATATATGTCCTTCTTGAGGTCATGCGTTGACTCTCAGCTACGTACATGTACATACAAGTACACCTACCAGGTACAATACTGTGTGCTGAAATGTGATTGAGCAAGGGTATCGCCCGAGGGGGTCCAGCCACCTTGTCAAATTGCTTCTGGCAAAAGGGGTAATGGCGCAGCCCATCTCTCTTGGCTTGATGCAGCTATGAGTGTGTGTGATAGTGACAACAGCATTGATATTCTTGGCTGGCTGGATTGAGTGGATGTACCTAAGATCAAGATCAATTGGACAATGCTAGAATCGAGCACTGACTTTCTGGGGATGTTGACGCAAGCTGGAGAACTTGTCGGGATGGCTGATTGACTTGCGCACCGACGCATCCCAGGGATACAATTTCCCGCCCTCTGCATGTAGGGCATGATGAGCTATGGAAGAAAACGGCCGAGTGTCTAGACTACTTGTATGGGCAAACGAATAAGCTTGCGCGAGTATTTGTTATTTGGGTGAAGTGCAAGGAAAAGTCCCTGAAAAGATCCACGGGGTGGCTGTTCAAACACTTGATGAATCGATGTAACTACACATGTATGGATACACTCGTTGATGCATCTTAGTGGCGAACGCGGGGGATGCCCTTGTTTCTGCACCGTTAGGTTGACTTTGATGTGCTTCGACTCCAGGATTCCCCCCGAGTCACACCCGACCTGCACTCTACACCACCCACGACCCCTTGGCAGGCAAAGTCGATACTTGCATTCCATTGTTGTGTCTGCCGCACCGTTCATCAACTAGCGTGAGTTTGCCCCTTTTCCCTTCACCGGGCTAGTACCACTTTGGTGTCCCCCCTGACTTTATCTCAGCCGGCTTGGACACCACCAACGGCCGAATTTGACAGGCCGGTAACTTCCTGCCCACACATGGAGCGAGTGGCCTGGCACGTTGGTTAGGTCGTCCGTGTCGGCTGTCATTGGAACCCTTCCCGCCTGCTAGCACCACCTGGGCACCTACCATCCCGCGCATCGACCCGCATTGGCCCTGTGCAGGAGGTCGCTAGTAGCCCCCAGAACAGCGCGGGAGTTGAGTACAGCACTTCACCTCAGTGCTGCAGCCCTTCAACCTCGTCAAGGCCATTCTATCGTTGTTCCCCAAATCCACCCCGTCCAGCAACCTTGGACCTTTTCGCTTCCAACCTCTGCCTCCTTCTGGCTTCACCACAGCTTCCGTTCCCACTGTTCCGTGCATTGGTCACGCCCATCGTTCTTCCATTCCTTTGTTTTGCTTCTTTTCCTGCGGACTTAGCGACTCATCCAGCGCTCCGGCTTATCTCACGATCCCTACGCACACTCTCCTTGCTCAGGTTACCAAAAACCACCATCTCCTTTTCGCCCTACCTACCTTATCCTTGATACTACCGCGAACGCGCAACCTGACCTCTACGCCTGTTGCTGGTGCCATTATACGAAGTATCTCTGCTTCTCAATTTGGGTCGGTACCAGATTTTCTATGCAGAAGCAGAGCGAACTTCCTGGGCCTCTCGCGAACCCGAGCTGTGAAGATCGCGAGATTGGGCTCACAATCCCCGGTGATACAACGACAGGCGACTTGGTCAGTACACGCACCCCCAACTCTTTGACTTGGCTCCGTCGTCATCTCAGAGTCTTCCTATTACCCTGCCGATTTCTTAGGCCGCCAGATTATATGCTAACAGAAGCGCCGTACCAACAGGTGACTTGCAGATCCCACCCGTCGTCATTGCTCTCGCTCTCCCACTGAGCACCTACGATAGTCCTAGTACAGTGGAAGCCGAGATTCTGTCCAGAACGACCAGTTCCCCGGCCGATCTGTCTGCGCATAACAAAATTCAAGAAGGTGTGCCGCCCAAGGCACGCGACGCCCTTCCTTGGAGTATTCCCGACCCCTGCTGGTACCATATCGTCCTGGCACTGATGGGCACATCGATCTCTTGACGCCCTGGTCTACTTGTTAGGGCTTCTGACCTTGAACGAAGCGCGCTCTCGATTGTCAGCTAGGACACAACATTCGCAATGACGACAGCCATTCCCCGGGCTTCCCGTCCAGCCAACGGGCCGCCCACTACAGCTTTGCCTGCATTACCGGTCCCCAAAACCCGACAGTCCACCGGTACAGCCACGTTAGCTGCAGGATCTGGAGCGACAACCACCCCACGAAGTGGCCTACGAGCGCCGTCTACTTCATGCCTTCCCTCGAGCGCCTCGGCAGGTTCCCTTCCTCAACCGCGGTCCGCAACAGGGATCAACGGGGCGGGTAAGACATTGCGGAAAACGGTCAGCATCAACTCATTCCCACAGCCTCCGAGGACGGAGGGGCGTGTCGCAAGTCTCCCTCCAAGTCCTCTTTCCGGCGGCGCCTCGACCCGCAAGCTCAAAACTCCCACTACTCCCAACTACCACCTTAGTAACACGCCTAGCTTGTTGAATGGTACTGGTGATGGGAAACTGGTTGCTCGTGCAGCAGGCACGCGCAGCTCTGACGGTCTCTTCAGTGTGGCCTCACCGCCCCAGAGTCGAAGCTCCTCGGCGCAGGACTCATATTCAACATCGGCCACACAGTATGACGAGATCGGGGATCTGCCATCATCGACCAACGCAGCGAGTACAGACGGCAGTAACAGCAAGCGAGCTTCCAAGCTGGACGGCAAGGGAAACGTGGTCGTCAGTGTGCGAGTTCGTCCCGATGCGGGAGGCAGCGATCACGCAAAGACCGAGGGAGAATGGCTGGTGGAAGGTCGCAAGTCGTTGATAGCATATCGAGGCAAGGAGGGCGGTGATTATTACTACGGTGAGTCTTGTTGCAAAAACAGCAGAGGTGTTGAGCACCAGGATTCATACTAACGCACAATCAGACAACGTTTTCACGACCCATGATAACAACTCAAGAGTATACGACCACATAGCAAAACGGCTGGTTCGACGCGTGATGGAGGGCTACCACGGCACTGTTTTTGCGTACGGCATGACTGGTACGGGCAAGACGTTCTCTATGCAGGGAACAGCATCCTCGCCAGGTGTGATACCCCTCGCCATCACCGATATTTTCTCATACATCCGTGAGACGCCCTCCCGGGAGTTTCTACTGCGAGTCAGTTATCTGGAAATCTACAATGAGAAGATCCACGATCTCCTCAGTATGCCGACCGGCGCGAGCATAGGAGTGGCCCAGCAAGAGGAGATCAAACTTCGCGAAGACAGCAAGCGTGGGGTTTATGCTAGCCCGCTCAAGGAAGAGATTGTGCAAAGCCCGACCCAGCTGTTGCGCGTGATCGCGCGCGGCGATCAAGCCCGGCGAACAGCAAGCACACAGTTCAACTCCCGAAGTTCGCGAAGTCACGCTGTCGTGCAAATTGTCGTGGAGAGCCGAGAGCGTGTTCCGGGGAGTGGCTCGGGTAGCGAAAACAAGCGCTCTGGTATGCTGCCTGGTGGGGTTCGAGTATCAACCTTGAGTCTGATCGACCTTGCCGGCTCGGAAAAGGCTGCGGAGACCAAGGAGCGTCGGACAGAGGGCTCTCACATCAACAAGAGTCTGCTCACCTTGGGGACAGTTATCGCTAAGCTTTCTGGTGACAAGGAGAAGGAAGGGAAACCTGGCGACAAGGACGGCAAGCACCTCCCGTACCGCGACAGCAAGTTGACTCGGCTCTTGCAGGGCGCTCTGTCTGGAAATTCCCTTGTCAGTATCCTTTGTACAATCCAGATTGGTTCAGCTGGAAGTGTTGCGACGTCGAATAGTCACACGGCCGAGACCTTGAACACGCTCAAGTTCGCCTCCCGGGCCAAGAACAATATCGTCAGCCATGCCAAGCGAGCCGAGGAGGCACTGGGAAGCGGCGGTGACGGCGGTGCTCGGGTTCTACTTGAGCGTTACCGTATGGAGATTCTCGAACTGAGATCCCAACTCGACACCCAGGCAAAATCTAACACCAAGAAGGAAGAGGATGAAGAAAAGGCGAGCCTTCTGGAGGTTGAGAAGGCTCGGGAGAAGGAGGCTGAATACCGCCACGAAGAGCAGATGCTCGAGATGCAACTGGCGCGCACTGCCCTCAAGGAGCGCATAGATCATCTCAACCGCCTTATCCTCAGTTCGAAGTCCATCGGCGTGAATAGCGGAGGGTCATACAGCTCGCTTGGTATGCATCCGAGATCTTCTCTGGTTTCTGTTCGGTCCGCCGCTACGACGACGGGTACTATCAGCGGGCGATCAGCTATCGAGAGAACCACCTCGATGACGTCCTCGTCTTCGACAATCGGCCGACGGACCAGCAGCCAGAGGCTATCTGGTGGTGCAGAACTCCCTGCCGTAGACGATGAGGATAGCGCCGGCGAGTTTGGAGACGGGACCGCTTCTTTGACCGCCCAAAATGAGGCGCTGCAAGCCGATCTGGCCGATAAAAACAGATACATCGCCACGCTGGAAAAGCGCCTGCTGCAAGCTCGCCGTGCGAGTTCGTCCCGAGCCTCGGTCGGCCTTGGCGGCGCCGGGAAGGGAATTATGGTCGGCGAAGACCACAGCGTTTCTGCTGTGATCAAAGAGAAGGATGAAGAGATTGCGGAGCTCCGTGCGAAGCTGGAGGACAAGGACAGGATGCTGGCTGCCCTGCGGACCGCCGCGAGGTCTCGTGATAACGCCGACCGAGTCGAATCGAGATCGGAGGTTCGGACGTCTTTGATTCTTGATCACCCTCCATCTCCGGCTCCGACAATGCCTGCCCCGAGCCCTGCGCCCTCACTCATCCGTCAAGTCTCATATCTGCGCAAGCGTACGAGGAGTGTTGATGAGATGAGCAAGATGCTCGACGAGATGATCCAGGATAGAGTCGAAAGCGGACAGATCGTGCGCGGAAATCGTGGTAGTGTTCGTGTCGCAAATGACCGCAAGACAGACGCAACCGGAGAGCCCGTGGCGCGTCCCGACACACTACAGCGAAGTACCTCCCTTGGGGAGTCTTCTCCGGTGGCAAATCTTGAGGCATGATCCAGACTTCCTTCGCTTGAACTATACCTGATGGAGTAGAAGGACTGGTTGGCAGTCGGGCTGGGAACTACCGGCCTTTTTGTTTTCTCGAGTGTGGTTTTTATTTCTTCTTTCCTATTTGGCTGTTTAGGAGTTAGGGGACAGGGTTTCTACTTCTGGGCTGGCCGACTTATACCCATACCATTTATTCATCTTCGTGTGGGATTGTTCTTCAATTGGCCAATATTGACTGAGCATCCAGTAATTATCTTCTTTGGTCGAGCGATGGGGATGGCATGCCATCTCAAGGTTGTATGATAGACTGCACGGTCGCTGGACCTTGGGGCGAGGTTTCTGGCAGAATTTGACTTGATGAGTGTACATGGGAGAGTTGTTGGTCGTGATACGTTTGAGAGCGCTGATTGTGATCGTTCTTGTTTAACGGAGAGTACAGCTTTCATCTACGCACAGTAGAAGTTTCCATACCACACAACATTGTGCTCGTGGATCTGGGTCTCTTTGAGATTGGCCCTGAATTACACCAAACTTGACGATTTTGACGACTTGCTCGCAGGTACAACATGAGCTCCCGCTCGAGGCGGGAGGCTGCATTCCGGTCTACGTGCTGTCGCTCCTCTGCTGCTCACAAATGGTTTCACAAGTGACCATGCTTCAGGGCGAAGGGCAGGAGAAAGAGGTACGGAGTACTCCGCACATGCAAAGGAGAGCCAGGGCGGCTGGCCATGAGGTGAGAGGCATTGCTTGCAAGGCTGCGAACTGGCTTCGTCACCATTTACAGTAGATGGCTAGCTGCGTTATCTTCAGCTTCTTGCTGCCTTCGCGGATGTTTCCCATGTCGTCGGATAATGCTAGGCAGGTCGAGGTAGCATCCGAGGGATCTCATAGGCGTACCAATCCGTTGGAAAAACCCGCCTACAAGCCAGGCCGGAGCAGGCGATCTCTCCAGTTGGTGAAGCTTGGCTTGTTTCAGATCTACAGGGGTATTGCATGTCGATCGTTTTCAGCGCCACGGTTCCATCGAATCAATTGAATGCTTGAGGCCCAAAATTCAGGGTCCATCCAAATTGCAGCCTGCCGAGTGACTCCGGAATGACTCTGGTTTGCGCCCGATGCGCCAGCGCAAGAACAGCCCGTCCCCAACAATCCCCAAGGTACCTAGGTAGGTTTTTTTTTTTCTCGCCCCCTTATCAAAGCCGGGTTTCAACCCTCCGTGTTACCCCCCCCCCCCCCCCCCCCCCCCCCCCCCCCCCCCCTC